CTGGTTAGCCGGTGAGAGAGAGAGAGAGAGAGAGAGCCTGTGTGTGTGTCTGCTACAGTGGCCACATCGGAGGTGCCGCTTGTGTCGCAATGTTAGCCGGTGTGCTTTCGCTGCCTTCGCTTGGAAGGCGCGCCAACGCAACGCGCGCGCACACGATCCACGGGGATCCACTGACAAAGACCAGCCACAGGAACTGAATCCACGAGCACTGTGGGGTAGGGTAGGGGAATGGGCAGAGGAGGTGCAGCGCAGTTGGCCGCAGTGTCCGCCGTGCCACTACCTCTGGTGGTGGCGGTGGTGGTGCTGCCGCTGCTGGACGACGACGAGTGCTCGGTGCGGCAGCTCGAGCCGCTCAGGCAGCCTGCAGACAGAGCCAACAGTGAAGATCATCAGCGCAGCCGAAGATCGCATTGCGACCAGAAGTGCGAGGCATCAACATCCAGTGCCCGACAGAGTGCGGAGACCCAGAACCGTGTCCACGAACATCCGAAGAAGACCATCCGCCACCGATTTACCATCAGTCAGGAGCACGGGTAACGGGTACCAGCGGAGACTACCATCACCAGCAGACCGTCTCTCCGTGTAGAGATCCTTCCACTCGAGCCTTCTCCAATTGTGCGGACGACATCTCTTCCTCTTTCCGCCAGTAAGAACTCCAGTCGGAGAGTAACATCACCTCCCTTACTTTCGACATCAGCAGCAGTACCGCAGGTACCGACAAACCGTTTCGGTAAGTCCATCCCGAAAGTGCCATATCGGCCGGCAGCACCGGTTTCAGGAGCACACCGGCACAATGGTCTTCACTGCACAGGCAGGCAGGCACATTGCAATGACTGCTCTCCTAACCGGCTTTTCTCTTTCCTCACTGACAGTCCATCTCTGCCTGACAACACCCCTAAGCGCAATCGAAGAGAATGACTGAAGTCGACACCCAGGAGCCTTCCTCTCCCGCCCAGTCTGATCCAGTGGCCAACGACGACACCTCCGACCAGTCGCCTGGTGATGACTCCAACATTGGAGACGTCAAAGTGGGCGACACTGCACAGGGAAAGAAAGTGCTCGGTATGTTGCTCCCCTAAATAACACACTGCACAGACAATCCACCGTTGCGATGCACCATTGCAGTCGTACTGCATCNTCCTCTCTGTTAGTTGCTAGTCTAGCCGACTTGTGCACTTTCCCACTCTCCCAATGGCTTTATCGCTTCCCTCTTTCTGCAATCATGCATTCTCATCAAGAATGCTCAGGCATGAATAAGGGAGAGAGAGAAAGAAGGGGCAAAAGAGAGCACTGGCGTGTTTCATTGCACTGTTAAGGCTGTTCGCAGCACACGAGTTGCTATTAATACACCCCATTTGCAACGATTCCCCGTGACTAGGTTCATTTAGTAGCACTGCTGCCATTTCACTCCAACTCGACGTTCTGTGTCCACATTGCCGCTTACTAAAGATATCGTCTTTTTCTTCTTCTCTTCCTTTTGCCATTCCTCCTGTTCCCTTGCTCTCTTCCTCGATGACTACTACTGCATTGACAACTACTACCACTGCTTCCACTACCTCAAACTCTTATCAACAGCCATACGTGTAACGGGCACTGTCAAGTGGTTCAACGTGAAAAATGGCTATGGCTTCATTTCGCGCAACGACAAAGACGGCGAGGACGTGTTTGTTCACCAGGTAAACACCAGTCAAAAGTATACAGTGCCGGATGATTAGTGCACTTTATTTGCACTGACATCTCAAGTTGCACACTTAAAGTGCTATCATTTGTTTTCTTACCTAATCAACCTCTATTTGTTTTCTAATTTCCTTTCCAGTCGGCCATCAAGCGCAACAACCCGACCAAAGCTGTGCGAAGTGTTGGCGATGGCGAAGTAGTCGAGTTCGACATTGTTGAAGGAGAAAAGGTATTTGTAGTTGTACAAAAAAGAAAGAATCGTCACTGACACCTTTGAAACAATTCTCGCAGGGCAACGAAGCGGCCAATGTGACCGGCCCAGGAGGCACCAACGTCAAGGGCTCGCCCTTCGCCGCGGAAAGGGGCCGATTCTACCCTGGCCGATCGCGTGGCGGATTCCGCGGACGTTTCCGCCCACGAGGTCCCCCTCGTGATGGCAGTGTGCCCTATGGCGGCGTGGCCGAAGGCGGACAGTTGGCCACCTCACCGCGTGGTGGTGGCTTTCGCGGCGGTCGAGGCCGCCCGTACATGGCTCGACGGCGCTTCTACGGAGGGCCCGGTCGTCCGGTAGGTCAGCCCGGTATGGTGGGCGGAGGAGGGCCCGTGGACGGACAGCAGCAGGTGGTGGCTGCTGACCCCGCTGGCGATGGCTATCAACAGCAAACGCAGGACAACTACGAGCAGCGCCAGCCACGCGGCAGACCCCGCCGATACATCCAGCGCTTCTTCCGCCGACGACCTCGCGGTCGACGCGGAGAGGGCGAATCGGGTGAAGAGGGCGCCGAGGGAGAGGTCAGTGCACGCTCCGGCCACATCTCCTCCACCCACTTTCAACGCATTACTAATNACATCTCCTCCACCCACTTTAAACGCATTACTAATGACTTTGACACACGTACAATTGCAGGCGGGAGAGCAAGATCAGGCTGGCAGTCCTCAGGAGGCTAACGGCGGCGAGGAGGTCCAGGAGGGAGCCGCCGATGATCAGGGTGGCGCACGCCCTCGGGGACGCGGTCGATACTACAACCGAGGCCGTGGTGGCTTCCGTGGCCGTCGACCATTCCGAGGCCGTCGAGGAGATCAGCAGGGATTCGAGGGGGAACAGGGCGGAGATGGCGCCCCGGCTGATGTTCCCAATGGTGGTGGCAGCGGCGGCGG